AAGGCTATGCAGGTATTAAATGGCAGAGTCAGGGTTTGAATCCAGTCTGATTCTAGACCCTTAGTCCTTAACCTTTCAATATACTGTTGGTGGGAAAAGTATTCCAGTTCACCCCTAATACCTTTCACGTTCTTTGCCATCCTGGTGAAACAGACCTGGTGAAGTAGGTGAGGTGAGTTGGTGATGTTTTGGAATAGTCACTTAGGGACTAGCGTGGCAGTAACATTATTAGTGAAGACACTAACTAATATAGTTGAGTGGTCCTTGTGTTCAGTGGGACAATTCTCAGCAGCCTCAGTGAGAGGCATTCAAGGAAAGGCAATTATTCACAACACAGTGTGGAGGATCCTCTGGTGGAAGGCACACCGAGGGAACACAGGAGCTAAAAAGAAAAGTCCCGTGCTCTAGAAAGTGTGTGGTGAATGGCAGGGGTTGCACTGGGAGGGAAATGACCATGGGAATGAATTCCAAGAGTGAGGGGGCCAGGGGTCAAGATGATTGGAACTGATGAAGTCTAGGGAAACAGAGGACAATGTACTGGATGGTCGCTGTTGTCAGAATAGCAAAGAACACATTTATTCAGGGTCAAAACATATAGGACACTGGGGCTGGTGGTGTAGTGGGTTAATCTGCTGCCTGCAGTGTCGCTATTCCATAAGGGCACGGGTTCGATTCCTGGCTGCTCCATTTCTGATCCAGTTCCCTGCTAATGTGCCTGGGAAAATGGGGGGAGATGGCCCAAGTGCTTGGGCCCTTGCCACTCATGTGGGAGACCTGAAGAAGCACCTAGCTTTAGCCTCATTCAGCTCTGGCCATTGCAGCCATTTGGGGAGTGAGCCAGCAGATTAAAGATTTCTTTCTCACCCTCCACTCTCCCTCTCTCTCTGTAACTCTGCTTTAAAAATAAAAAAATTTAAAAAAACAGGATACTGTGAAAGGTCAGGTTAGAAAAAGAAACAGAGCCTATCTAGTTTTTCTTCCTTAAAGGTTGGGAAATAGGTTCTTAATATAGATACACCTGTCACAATGCTTTGCTCATAAACATGAGCAGATCTTTTACAGAAAACAGGTCCTACATTAGAGGTTCCAAACTGCTATCTTAGGCACTGAATCAGACTCACAGGAAGTCACAATGCTTAGAAAGAATCTGAGATTCTAAGACCATGAGATTTCATAGAGAACCCTAATTTTCAGTTTCCCTTAAAAAAGCAGAACAGTGGCTGGTGTTGTGGGGCAGCAGGTAAAGCCGCTACCTGCAATGCCAGCATCCCATAGGGGCACGGGTTCAATTCCTGTCTGCTTTGCATCCAATCCAGCTCCTTGCTAATGGCCTAGGAAAGCAGCAGAAGATGGCCCAAGTGTTTGGGCCCCTGCCACCCACATGGAAGACACAGATGAAGCTCCTGGCTCTGGCCTGGCCCAGTACTGGCCTTTGCGGCCATCTGGGGAGTGAATCAGCATATGGAAGATCTCTCTCTCTCTCTCTCTCTCTCTCTCTCTCCTTCAAACTAAATAAATCTTTAAAGAAATAATTAAGCAGAACTAGACAATGAGCCCATATTCCCATCTAGCAAAAAGAGTCCAGAGTTGCATAGTGCAACTTCTCAAGACAGGGCCTAGTATCTTCATTTTGGTCTCCATGTCAAAAATGGGGCTCATCTAAAATGCCAAGTTCTCCATAAAACCACCTACAAATCCCTGTCTGAAACTGCCTTCTCCCCTTCTACTTGTAAACTACTTACAAGTACAATTTCAAAATTCTTTTACACCAAGATAAACTTTTCATTCCATTTTCCCACAAACTCTTTGAAGTAGCCAGTACTTTGTCCTCTTAAGAAAATTAATCTTCTCCTGCCCACATCCCCACAGCCCGTTCTGCCCATTGCTGGCCTACTGGATTTCAGCTACTCATTTGCCATAACAGCCGCCATGTTTCTTCAGGGCAGGAACACTGACTTCCTCCGGCCTGCAGCTGTCAGCCTCTAAATTTTGTTATATACAGCTTCTGGGTAAATATGTTCGCTTATAGGGAAGCACTTCTTGATTTTTGTTGATGTTAGAAAGTTCAGTTCAAGAGCCTGAAGTAAATCACTGGGGATTTAATTTCAGAACCATGAAATCTGTGTACAGATTACTGTTATGAGTTCAGTTTGACCTGAAAATAATACACCAGTGCCTGAAGAATCTTTGTAGAGTACCAGAAGAAAGTTGCTGAAACACAAATCACTCGGGGAAATTAGAGCACAGGATGATAAAATAACATTACTGAAAGGACTACAGAAGAAGGAAAGTAATTAAATACGGTTTAAGAGGAGAATGTTTATCAAAGGAAAAACAATAAACACACAAGTTTTTAGAAGGAAGGTTTTGGTGAAGGCTTCCAAGTATGTTTTCCTTTTTTAAATTTATTTGAATGGCAGGTGCATGTGCACACCCACGGACACACACACATAGGTGTATACTACCTGTTGGTCCACTTCCCAAATGCCCACAACAGCTGAGACCTGGCCAGACACCAAGCCAGGTTGTCTACATGGGTAGCAGGGACCCAACCCCTTGAGCCATCACCTGCTTGCTTCTCACAGTACACCTTAGCAGGAAGCTGGGATTGGGAGTGGAGCTGGGTGTCCAACCCAGACATCCCAAGCAGCATCTTACCCGTTGTGTCAACTGCCTGCTCCACCTTGCAACTCTTTAATGACGCTCTCTCTTCTGAGCTTGAGAATCATAAATGCAACTGCCCAGTTTATAAGACCACACACCGAGCCATGGACCTCAAAAGGCAAGGCTCATCACAAACCACTTCTCCCTCCTGTGTTCTTTCTTGGGGATCACCAAGCCCCAGTTACTCCACTAGAAACCTAGAAATCACTCTTGGTTCCTGCTTTCCTCAAATATAATACATCTAATCAACAAACTACACTGTCTTGATTTCACTGCCTACCTCCCACACTCCCGAAACTGCCATCCCTTGCCAAGCTTTCTCTTTTGTCTCCCATCTTGTCTCCCATCCCTTCAGCTTCACCTCGAGTCAGCATTTTGTGCTTTCTTTAGCCATCTTCTGGAGCATCCCACTGCCCTTAGCATACAAGCCTGTGTTCTCAGATTGGCTTATCAGGCCACACACGTCTGGTTCTGGTGTTCCTCTTCGGCCTATCTCTTCCCAAGTCCTTTCTCCCTACTTTACATTCTCTTGAGAGGAACATCAAAGTTCTCTTGACAGCCGGCGCCGCGGCTCACTAGGCTAATCCTCCGCCTAGCGGCGCCGGCACACCGGGTTCTAGTCCCGGTTGGGGCGCCGGATTCTGTCCCAGTTGCCCCTCTTCCAGGCCAGCCCTCTGCTGTGGCCAAGGAGTGCAGTGGAGGATGGCCCAGGTGCTTGGGCCCTGCACCCCATGGGAGACCAGGAAAAGCGCCTGGCTCCTGGCTCCTGCCATCGGATCAGCGTGGTGCGCCGGCCGCAGCGCGCTGGCCGCAGCGGCCATTGGAGGGTGAACCAACGGCAAAGGAAGACCTTTCTGTCTCTCTCTCTCACTGTCCACTCTGCCTGTCAAAAAAAAAAAAGTTCTCTTGACAATGAAGACTTAGTCTATCCCTGTCACTAAGAATTATACATGCCATTTCTCTACTTGGAACCCTTCCTTTGCATTTCATGGGACTATGTCTTCCTTTAGGCCTTAGTTGAGGCCTCATTTTCTCCAGAGGCGTTCTTTCATCTCAAGTCTGTGCCCCATACAGTATCCTAAACTTTCTCATCACAGTATGTCCCAGTCATACTGTCCTTATCTCTGTTCCTATTTTCTATCCCCCACTACACAGAATGCCCTGTGAGGGAAGGAACCAGATGTGGCTTGCACTGTGTAAAACCTACAATGCTAGGTTCATAGGAAACACTGAACGTGCGTACTAAGTTCAGTACTTACAATTGAAGACTTCCCTTAAGGCCAATGAGACCGTCTCTCTCAATCGTCTCCAGATACCCTAACACTACACTGACAGGGTGTTAACACTTCTCTAATTGCTGCTCCGATTCGATTAAATGTACTTGTGTAAACCAAGCGGACACAGAGGTCGGGGGCCCAGTGCACCTCAGCGCACATGCAAGTCTCTGAGTAGTGGAAGCAGCGGCCAGGAAAGGTGGTGCTCGCCACTCAGCTCCATCCAGATCCCACAATGGCCAAGGCCCAGCACCGCCATGACTGGCCAAGTTCTAAGCGAGGCTGAAATTGGTCCCGATTTCCAACTGTTGGTTCAAATCTTTCATGAACACGCGTGGAACCAAAACACGTCTGTCAAACTGTCAGGCTTACGACTGGGTTGAGACTCCTACTTTATCCGTGGGTCCCTTCATGAAGGGTCACTTCGATGCTGGTATTTCAACGAGGTTTACTTTGGGGGCCTGCCTACACCCGTGTGTGACTATCTTCCAGTCGCCCAAACACTCTCCTCACTCCGTTACCCGCCCTTCTTCAGGGTTCAGCCCCCAGCTCCCGCCGCCGGCCGCGCGACTGGCAATGACAGAAGCCCCGCCCGCGCCCGCCCGCGCCCGCCCGCGCCCCCGCGCCGGGCCCGCGCCCCGCAGCGCCTCGCCTCCTCCCAAGAGCCGGACAGCCGCGGCCCCGCCCCTACCTGCGCGCCACAGCGCCGGGAGCAACAGTCTCCCTCCGGAGCAAGGCGACCAGACATGACTTGGACTAGGATGATCCTCGGCCTCTCGTCTTCGCAGGACTTTGCGTTCTCTCGGCGCCCCGCTTGGGCTAGTGCGGCGAGGCTGCAAGTGCAATCAGGCGGCGCTGAGGGCAACCCGGTGGGGCGGGGCCTGGAAGGGCCTCGCTGGCTGGGGGAATCCTGCGAAGCCGCTGCCCGACAGGGAGGCGTGGCCAACGAGGTTGGAGGCGGTTCCCGGAAGTCTCTGCAGTGTCCGAGCCCTATAGGTCCGGCTGGCGTCTTAGGGGCGTGGCCTGCCAGATGGAAGGTGGGGCCAGGGAGGGCCTTGGGACTGGGCGATCAGGCTGTGCTGTGGGCAGCCCGGGAGAAGGCCGGGAAAGATGGCGGCCTCCTGGAGGCTGGGCTGTGACCCGGCGCTGCTGCGATACCTTCTGGGCTTCGGTGGCCAGCGAAGCTTGGGTCTGGTTAAGGGGGCTGCTAGGTGCTCTGTCGGCCGCGGGGCTAGTTGGAGATGGCTGCACAGCACGCAGTGGCTGCGGGGTGAGTGCAGGGGTGCCCTCAGTTTCTCTGTAGCAGAGCAGTGGGCCCGGGGTCAGGGACGTGATGGACAGAGGTCTTGTGTCTGGGTGTGGAGGTGCCCGGCTCCCTTCTTGCTTTCCTCTTTTCTCGTGGGTGGGTCCGCTGACTTGGCCTGATGTATGCCGCAAAGGGCTTTCTTGGGAGCTGGGAGATTTTGACTCTGTCCCCTGATTCGACCTTGCCTTGGAATTTGGGTTATTTGTAAGGCCTATCTGTGTGGTCAGGCATCTCGGCACGCGAGAAGCTGCCCAAGGTTGAGATTCACAGCCATGGCTGGCCGTTATTCATTCGCTAGGCTCGTCTCGTTTGGGAGATGTAAGCTCTTCGAGGCCACTCGGGTCTCCCCACGCGATGACCCGTAAAAATCATAATTTGTACATGAGGCATTACAGACATAAGTTCCAGAAAATATTTCAAGCAGAACATTAGCTCGAAAGGGTGGAACTTGGCAGGGGCTAAATGTGCTATAGAAAATCGCCGTTTGGTAGTGATGTTGATTGACAGCAATTGACATACAGTTCTAGTATTTAACCGTGCACTGTGTGAAAAGGCTTGCCCGGCATAATTCTTCCATGCACGGGGCCGGGGTAGAGGGTAAGAGTGGGGCGAAGAATGGGATTAACATTTTTACCCACCAGTCATCATTCCTGGCACTCCACAGAATGAATTTTTACTTAAAAAATTAGAATGGACATTGGGTGCACATTGTGAGCTGCTTGTGGCTGGGAAAAAGAGCTTTGCAAAGCCCCACGGGTAAGATGAGTGCTTTGCAGTTGCTAAAGATTGGGGGATGGGAATATTTTATTTCAGTTTCTTCAGGCTGATTTTCATAAAATACCCCCTGGAGCAGTGGTTCTTCGGCAGTGTGTGTGTATAGAATTTTTCTATAGCTTCCAGAGATTGTCTCAGATGGAGCACAGGGATCTGCATTTTACAACCAACCTTAGGTGACTTTTGATAGAGTATACCTTGAGGCTCACTACCTTAGCAAATAGTCATAATGGAAATAGTCCGGGAAGAATGTTCATAATTTTACCTATTAAAGATGCTTCGGAGAATTTTTGAATGCTCTAGATCCTCAATACACAGAAAGGGCCTATGAGGTTCCACACAAAAATGTCATGGGGTTTCAGAGGTTTTTCTTAGACCTACTCTGATGACTTCCTTCTGCCCTGAGAAACTCACTCGCTCAGCCTTTATTTGAGGGGCTGTGACATTTTCTCCGGTCCTCATCCCCTCCCCCTGGACAAACACTGTGAACAACTTGTCTGTTTGAACATCACCTGGAAAGGAGACTGGACCACATCCCAAGATAAGCTGAGCTAGTTTCTTAGTGCTGCTATCAGAAGTCAGTGGCTCAAATCAACACACATTCGTTGTCTTACAGTTCTGGAGTTCAGAAGTCCAAAGTGGATTTCCTTGGCTAAAATCACAGCGCTGGCAGGGGCTTCATTCTTTCCTGGTTCTGAGGGGAGAATCTGTTTGCCTTTTCCAGCTTCTAAAGGTATCTCACATTCCCTGGCTCTTCTCCATCTTAGAGTCAGCCATGGCTGGTCCAGTCTTTGCACATCACATCTCATGACACCCCCTCCTACCTTCTTTCTTCCACTTACAGAGGCCTGTGTGATTCCAGTGGACCACCTGAAGGATCCAGATTTCTCCCCATCTCGAGGGCAGTTCATTAACACCTTAATTTCATTCTCCGTCCTAATTCCCTCTTGCCATGGAACAACATAGTCACAGGTCCTGGGTATTAGGATGTGGACCTCCGGTAGAGGGTACTAAAGCTAAGAAATCATTTGCATTACTGTAGATGGTGAGAATTAAGTATATTTATTGACCTGTTTCCTCTCCAGGAATCTGTCAGAAGTATTCTTGGAATATTGGCTTCATTAAAAGGTGCTTGTTGGCAGCATTTCTGTGAGCTGTGACATGCGCCATGTGCTTACCACTTCCCAGAATTTTTTATTCACTTCTCATAACAACCTAGTAAAGTTGGCATCATCCGCGTTTAATTGGACAGAAATACTAAGGCTCAGTCTCCCAAAGCCACATAGCTGTGATATCAGTGAGCTGAGAGTATATGTATTTGTGTTTATGCCTGACAAATCCCTAATCTGGTACATTTGTTGAACTAAAATGTTAATTGAGAAGGCAGAGACTGTATTCACCACTTGGCTGGTGTTATTTAGCATCCACTAAGCGGCAGGCATATGATAGCCTACTTGGAAAGTGGTTGACGTACAGAACAGGACTGGTTTTCAGGATTCTGCCACAGGGCCGGTTTAGTCATATTTGGCTTCAGGGCATACAACCCTAGATCCTTTGTAGGCCCTATCCTTAAGGTGTTGAGAGTCTGCTGGAGGAGATAATAGTAAAGACGTGATTCCAGCAGTGTGCAGGGAACTCTGAAGGGTGAGTTTCGGTTGACAAAGAAGGCAGTGTATGTGAAGGCTTTGTGGGGGAAGAGGGGCTGTCCTTGGCCAGATGTGCTGTTGTAACAGTTTTTCAACCTATCCTAAGCAGTTAACTTTGAAGAGTTTATATTGCTGTCATTTCAGAGTAGGTGGTATGATATGGAATGTTATTAAGATATTATTAAATATTAAGATATTAGTTATTACTAATTTTAAATTCTCTCTGAGTAATAATATGTTGAATTGAAAATAACATGCATAGAAAAGTAAATGAGGTTCATAGAATGCAGTCATGCTGTTTGTTACTGATGTTAAATGAATATATCTAGGAAGTTGTATGGGGGCCGGCGCCATGGCGCACTGGGTTAATCCTCCACCTGTGGCGCCAGCATCCCATATGGGTGCCGGTTCTAGTCCCGGTTGCTCCTCTTCCAGTCCAGCTCTCTGCTGTGGCCTGGGAGTGCAGTGGAGGATGGCCCAGATGCTTGGGCCCTGCACCCACATGGGAGACCAGGAGGAAGCTCCTGGCTCCTGGCTTCGGATCAGCGCAGCTCTGGCCGTTGCGGCCATTTGGGGAGTGAACCAACGGAAGGAAGACCTTTCTTTCTGTCTCTCTCACTGTCTGTAATTCTACCTGTCAAATAAAATAAATAATAAGAAAAACTTTTTAAAAAAAGCACTCTAAGGTCTGTAGTAGGGTTGCCAAGTTGGGAGCCAGTTAACTGACACATGTCTTTTAAGAAGAAAATTAAAGTTACTGGCAGCGTTTACAAGCAAGGACACTTCACGTAAAAATCTAGAGTTTCTCTTCTGAAAGTTTAGACTGTGGTGACCACTGCCTGAAACTAAGTAATGATTGCTCTTTAAGTTAGGAGGTAACTTCCTGCTTTATTTCTGTCCCCAGTGCTCAGAAAGGTGCAGTGTCCCTTGGTATTTGCCATCCCCTCAAGTTGTCATTCTGCTACTCTGACCTCTGTGCACAACAGAAAACAAAATATATACCAAGAAAGGGAAACAGAATGTGCACGTGAAAGGAAAATTCCTATTTCATGTGAACGTGAGGCATGTCTGACTCTGAAGAAAGATACCTTACGATGCCTGCTTCCTTCTCTTACCTGCCTGTTTTATGCAGGCATCTGAGGTTGGTCTTTCTCTTTCTTAAGATTCACTCATTTATTTATTTGAAAGGTGTGGGGAGCAACTCGGACTAGACTGTTACTCGAATTAAGACTTACTCTATGCATCTGCTCTCCCACAATATGGCACTGGGAGAGGAAGAAACAGCTTCTATACAGCTGCCTCCAGTTCAACCAATAAACTGTAGGACCTGCTCCTGATTGGAGGAGAGCAGCGTACTCGGCGTGTGGGTAGCAGAGTTGGGATTGGTGGAAGAGGACTATAAAGGAGGAGAGAGACAACATGCACCGGGAACATCTATCTGAAGGAACACCTGTGCAGCCCCCGAGAGAGCCGGCCGGTGGTGTGCCGCTCCCCCGCGGAAGTGGGGAAAGTGGCAGGGGGAACCGCCCTTCCACGGAGGTGGAAGGGACGGTAGCCAACCCGGGAAGAACCAGCAGCAAACCCGGGGAGGGCCGAGCAGACAAAAGAACAGTGCAGGATCCTGTGTCGTTCCTCCGCGAAGAGGGGGAGCGACAGAAAGGCACAGAGACAGAGAGATCTTCCATCCCTTGGTTCACTCCCCAAATGGCCACAACAGCTGGAGAGGCTAGGCTGAAGCCAGAAGCCTTGAACTCCATCCAGATCTCCATGTGGATGACAGGAATACACGTATTTGAGCCATTTTCTTCTGCCTCCAGGTGCGTTAGTAGGAAAGCTGGATTGGAACCGGAGTAGCCAGGAGTTGAATCTGCACACTGATATGGGATGCAGGCGCCCTCAGAAGTGGCTTACTGGCTGCAGCATAAACACCTGCACCTGTCTTCTCTCTTTCTTTTTCTCTTCGGGCTTGCCAATCTGCTTATTCATAATTTCTCTTTCTCTATAACACCAGCATGTCTTAATGCTGATTCAGGCCTTTTTGTTCCATGGTTTTTTGTTTGTTTTTGTAAGATTTATTTTATCTATCTGAAAGACAGAGGGAGAGATCTTCCATCCACTGGTTTACTCCTCAAAAGGCTGCAATGGTCAGAGTTGGGCCAGGCTGAAGCCAAAAGCCAGAAACTTCATTGGGTTTCCTGTGTAGGTGCAGGGGCCTAAGTACTTGGGCTGTCTTCTACTGCTTTCCAAGTGCATAAACAGGGAGCTGGATTGGAAGTGGAGCAGCCTGGGCTTGAACTGGTGCCCACATGGGATGCTGGCATTCCAAGTTGTGGTTTAACCCATCATGCACAACGCTGGCCCCTGTTCCATACTTTTCCACTTTAGTTTGAGTACCCATTATCATTTCTGTAATGTACTTCCAAATTCCATGTATAGACTGACTGAGCTAACATAGGTGTTTTGTGGTATAGCTCACACAGGCCTGATTCTTTCACTACCTGTGATCTGGACATTTTTAAGAAAGAAGTATGGGGCTGGTGCTGT